ACTTTCCATTCTGAACTCTACTTCAAGCTCCCTGATGGCCTGGGCTGTATTTTATGTACCTTCTCCAGAACCAGCCAGAAAGAGTTTCTGATGGAAATGGAATACACATTCCACATTACCCAAGGGAGGGAATACTTTCTATGTATTTGATGGATGGGCATGTCTGTTTTGTCCTTTGTGAAATGTGGCAGTTCCTGATTAGGTTCCTCGGGGTGGTTTGGCATCATAGAAAAGCAGAAACCAAGGTGAGAAAAACTCAGTCTCTAGATTGCTTGAGGGCTTCCTAAAGGGAGCCAGCTAGTGACATCTAAAGTGGCTCCGCCACAACCTCATGCACTTCCTAATGCATCTTGATATGAACAAGTCCTTCACGTGGAAAGGGGCTACACCGTTGCTTAGATTCAGTCCAGCTTTCAGAGTTTAGACTGTTTGGTGGGACTGAAAGCTGGTGCGGTTTGTATTACCTTCTGTTTTCTCTAAGAAATAACACTTTGAATGTTGAGCCAGACGTGGGATTTTTATCCTGGAAGAAGTCAGGCCAAATAGTAGGCCCTTTATAACCTGATGATGACAATAAAATCTTTCACCACTGGAACTTGTTAGGCTGAGGAGATTGGATAGTTTGACACTGAGATACAACTAGGTAAAGAATGACATGGAGCCCATTCCTATGGAGGGATACTCTCTCAGCCTAGATACATGGGGTAGAGCTAAGGACCTGCCCCGTACGGTGTGACAGATTTTGATGATCCCTCATGGGAGGCCTCACCCTCTCTGAGGAGTGAATGAGGGGTGGGATGGGTAGATGGTGGGGGGAATGGGAGAATGGGAGAATGGGAGGGAGAAGGAACTGGGATTGATATGTAAAATAAGATTATTTGTAATTTAAATAAAAATTAATAATAAAATGAATGACATTGTGCTGTAGTTCTATCTTTTATGTTAGATTTATTTACGTGTATGAATGTTTTCTTACATATATATGTGTGTACCACATGTGTGCCTGGTGCTTACAGTAGTCAGAAGGGGAGGATCTTCTGGAACTGGAATTACAGACAGATGTGAGTCACTATAACTGGGTCCTTTGCTAAAGCAATCAGTGCTCTTAACCACTGTGTCATTTTTCCAGCCCCAACACTATGGTTCTTGTAGAGTGCATGCATCTCAAATAAGGGGTGATGTGACGGTGTGGTAGGTCTAGCTTTTACACTATCCTAATTAAATTTCAGACTAGTCCAATGACTAGTATCACATTTCTTTATATGACTTCTGGTCCATGGACACCTGAATTATCCACAAATATAGTTTGTAACTATAAAGAGAACACACTGAGGCCAATCTTTAGGAAGACCCAGTTGTCAACAAGGGGCAATTCTTTCTGAATCTAAGTCCAGAACTCTTTTGAAATACAAAGATAGCCATTTTTAAATATCTAGAATGTCTACTGGTATTTGTTATTTTATATGGAGACTGCTGGTATCTTTGACTTGGGAACTGCTGCCCAGATCTGAGACTTTGCAAAACCATAATGATGGTGACATTTTTTGTGCCTCTAATCGCTTTTTCCTGTTGGTGTCCTTTATGAGTCCTCCTCAGGCACACACATTTTCTTCATGGAACCTCCCATTGCTTACCTGATCTCAGGAAGCGACAGGACCTATACATTTAAACTGTATAACTGGCTAACAATTCAAGTGACATCTGTTTCAGAACTGGTAACAAAATATTAAGGTAAGAAATATATGAACCACATGGCAATAACTAACTCTGAATGCTGGCATTTTATACCTTTATGTATCTTTTCTCATTTGCACATTTTTTCTTGTTTAGATTCAACTGACTATTAAAGAAGACCACCTCACCAGCATCTGTTAATCCTTCATGAAGCACTGATAGAGTTCAAATTTTTTCTGGGATAGCTCTTAGCTCCTGCTCTTAACCTTTGAACTAGAATAAACAATGGATAGCTTCCCAGTGACATTTGCTGACAACCAAATTCCTACCAAGGCTGAGGCAGCCTGTGATACCATTTGAAGGAGAAGATACATGTCTCCAGTGGTTTATCTTTCTGAAGTCTTTCTCCCTATAACAGAGGCATTGTAAAGGGACACTTCTGAAGTAGAGGTTTTTTTTTGCTTTTTTTCAAGACAGAGTTTCTGTGTAGCCCTTGCTGTCCTGGAACTTGTTCTGTAGACCAGACTGGCTTGGAACACACAAAGATCCTTCTGCCTCTGTCTCCTGAGTCCTGGGATTAAAAATGTGTGCCACCACCACCCTGCTGAAGTAGAGATATTACACATGGAATGGAATCTACTTTCTATTCTTTACCACTTACAAAAACTAGGGTATTTGTGCAATCAGTTTGCCTAATATTAACATCCAATTGGATCCATTTCCAAATGGTGTAAATACACAACCAGTAACTTCCAGAGCAGTGGGAGGGTTCAGACTGGTTTGCTGACTCCAGATGCCTGTGTGATGGTGTAGGCCCCGTCCCATTTAGGCCACCTACTCAGGACCTTAGTGACAGGAATCAAGGTATATTCTTCAGGTGCAGGAGTAGTTCGTATTAAAACCAGCAGGTGGTGACAAAAATGTTAGAGTTGGTGATTCTCATTCTTACTAGAAAATGTCACCAGCTCAATGGGGCATACTGAAACCCTGTATTAGATGACAAGAAAATTTTACCCTTTTTTCTGTCAGTAGGAATAATCAACTGCTAGATACTTAGTGAGAAAATCACAAACGCCTTAGCAGGCACAAAAAAGAAACCTTTTAGATTCCCGTGTGTATTGCCCCTTGTAGAGAACAGACTATGTGTGAGTATAAATCATCTCAAAGTTCTTTCTCTAGTGGAATTTAAATGAAAGTGGGGTTGGAGAAGAGAAAAGGAAGAAGGAGGAAGAGGAGAAAGAGAGGGAGGAAGGGAGGGAGACAGCCAGCATGGCAGCCAGACAGACAGATTAGAGGTAAGAAATGAAGCTGAACTATATTGTATTATTCTGTTTCAACACAATGGAACAGAATTCCAGAGCTAGGAAGGACCTTGTGCTATCCTGATCTATAGACACACAAGCTCACAGAGCTGGCAATGGTATTAGTCACCACTAATACATCACATCAATTTTTGGATGAAGAAACAGAGGCCCACGAACGGGAAATAAGATACCCAAGCTGACTCCATGATAAAAGACAGTTCTGGGATTAGAGTCCTTAGTTTTTAGAATTTTCTACTATACTCCCATTCCCTTTATACTCAGTTACTTACATAGCTATGACATAAAGCACCTTAGTAGACAATTTTACATCTTAAAAAAATCCCCAATGACAGAAATTCTACAAATTCACGTTTGTGTCACTGTGAGAAAGTACAGGAGAAAAATCAAAGAATAAAGAAAAAGGGTTATTTTGGTTCATGGCTTTAGTCAATGGTTGCTTGGTTCTGTTGTTCTCAGCCTGTGGCAGACCAGAACAGCACAGCAGGTGAGCATGGCAGTGGGGGAGCAAAGAACAGAAAGGAGGATAGGATCCTATAATCCTTTTCAAGGATATGTCCTCCCCGTACCTAACTTCCCATTAGGCACCACCTACTAAAGGTTCTATTACTTCTCAATTACTCCTTGGACTGGAGATCAGGGCCTAACACATAGGCCCTGGTGGGTACATTTCAGATCTAAGTTATAACACCCCTTGTGCAAATACATTTTATTGTCATTTATGGTTAAAATAATATAAAATATATAATTCAAAGATCTCTTACTATAGCATATATTCGTTACTGTTTGTTTCTGTCCATAGCAGAAATGAATAACAGATGTTCATTATTACCTACAATATTTGAGAAATGTGGACAGTCTGTGTTTGAGCACATATATCACATACATACATACATGTATGCATATGTAGCCGATAATTTAAGCCTATGTAGACTAAATGACTCCTCATGACAAACTATACCAGATAAATCACATATAAGAAGGAGAGGCGACTTAGGCTTTATCTTTGTTTGCCTTCTGCATGATAGCAACAGACTGATTCATATATAGAAGGCAATCTAACAACTAATCATCCAAACCCAGAGAGAGAGAGAGAGAGAGAGAGAGAGAGAGAGAGAGAGAGAGAGAGAGAGAGAGAGTGCATAACTAGTCCTGTATCCTCTACCTCCATCACATCTAGTCTAGGGTAACAAGCACTGATTACTGAAATGGTGGACAAAAAGATCAGCAATGCAAGATTCAAGGTGTCATGGTACACGCCTACAACCCCAGGACTCCAGAGGCTGAGACAAGAGGATTGAGAATTTGAGGCCAGCCTTGTCTATACAATGATACCTGTCTTAAAAACAATGAGCTCAAAGAAAAAGCTCAATATAAGAAGATCTGATGGCAGAGTACAATTACTCATGTCTATTTTAGAAAAAAAGTCCCTCTTATAAACTGAGCATTATAGTGCACTTTTGTAATTCCAGGACCTGAGATATGGAGACAGGAGGATCAGGAGTTCAGGGTCATTCTCAGCTACACAGTGAGTTTAATGGCAACTTTGCATACTATGAGACATTGTTTCAAAAACAAAATACCCCCTCTCCTTCTCAGAAGGTCATCTTTGCAATAGAATTCCGAATCTGGAGAAGATATTTGTAGTGTTATCCCTAGAGGAACAGATCAACTGGATATCCAGAATATAAGTGAGATGCCAAATTCAGTAGCCAACTATACATATATCCCCTGAGGTTTCCTTACCAAGGCAACAATATTGGCTCAAACATTTTACAACATTTTTAAAAGATAGCAAGAAAATTGTCAAGCCCAGTAACCTAACGTAGAGTAATGGCTTTCTGTAGACTATGACTGCCAACAGTATTGCTCTGGAAAGAAGTCAGCTGACTAAGGTATATTCACTGCAGTAATCAGACTGTTTCATTGAGGTTGTAATGGGCTCGACATCACTGTGACCTCTCTAGAAATCCAAGGAAGTCCCATTGTAAAGCAGTTACTCACGGCAATAAGCTGGTAGGAATTGTTCATCATGGCAATGAGCATGTTCAGCAGCACTACCAGGGAGATCACGTTGTATGTCCCAAACATAGTAGCTCCCACGAACTCGGTGAACTCGTGTCTGGCCTTCACATTGGTGACATAGAGATTTAAAAGGCCAAATACAGACCAGAAGAGTGACTGAAGAGTTTCAAAGAGCCTAAAAGTGATACAAGAGTAGGTTAGTTATCCGAATGAGAACATAAGAGAGCAAACATGAGGTAGTCTATAAGAGGGCAGTCAGATTTGTGATACTTGTGCATTTTAGTCTCTTTATTAACATAACAGTGTAGCCAGGTCATTTCATTTAGAAACTTTGCTCTTCTTCCTGGGATATTTTCATCTCTCCCCCTCTCAGTGTATTGGTAACCTAAACATGCTCAGAGCTTCTTTTGTGGGCCACTTCTATCAAACCCTCTTTCCCATCTTCAGACCACATTATCTACTACTTTCCTAATTATCTGGGGTCAGCAAATTCAGAGGTTAAGAATATGGGGCTTTGCAAGTTGGAGGGAGTGGACCTGGAAAGATTGCTCAGTGTTTAAGAGCACTTGCTGCTCTTCTTGAAGACCTAAATTCAATTCTAGGACCACACAACAACGGTGTGTAACTCCAACTCCAGGGAATCTGTCTCCTCTGACCTCCACAGGCACCTGCATTCATATGTCCACACTGACATAAATACACACACACCCCTACATGTAATTAAAGTAATAAAAATCTTTTTAAAAAGCTATAATGGAGCTTGGGCTATACTGCACTCTGTTGAAATCTCAACTGACACTTGCTTTCTACCACTCACTGAGTAAGCATAAAGGCAAGTTGTTGTCCCCCCTCTACTTTTGTTTTGGTCCTGGGGATGGAATATAGGGCCCCATATATGCTAAATATGTCCTCTTCTACTGAGTTGTACTCCAGATCAAAATTTCCACTTTGTGGGCCTCACAGGACTCAGATGGTTCTAAGCTCAATGGAAGAACTTGATTGATCTCAAAATAATATGTTACATATTTTAATGATATATACATTAAGTATTATTAAGAACACTCTATATAAGCATGCTTTACATGTTCTTTTTAAAAATCATGATAAGATTTTCTGACTTGCCTGCAACTCACTGTACAGACTGGCCTCAAACTCAATGAGCTTTGCCTGTCTCTGCTTCCTGATTGCTGGAATTAAAGGCGTGCAGGGCCATACCTTGGCTTGTTTTACATTTTAATGAATACATTATTATCATGACTCATAAAACTTTACTGTAAAAAGCAGTGGCTTTTATATTAGAATATGAGTTGCTAATCTATAAGATGATATGGCACTGCAAATGAGTGGGACAAACAGGTGATGGGGACCCTAGCAACAAATACAAGAGATTTTTAATATGCTAACTAGAGCATTTCAAAATCTGTGGAGGAAGTATCGACTTTTTAATAAAAAGAAAGCAATAAATCAAAGAAAAACTGTATTACTATTGATGATCTTACATTCAGAGATTGATTAGCTCAAGGACACTCAGCTAGTAAGTACTGAGCCAGAATTCAAGGGCAGGTCTTTGTGACCTCGCCAAGCCATTACATCAGTCTCTATTAGATGGCTTTGCAAATTATTGCTTCCTGTTTTAGTTTCCATGCCCAAGCATTAGACGTTGTAATGATATACTTTTGGCATGTGAGGTTTCATCTGTCTGGCCTTCAGAAATCTACCTACAGCAATACAGTACAGTTAGCTCATGAGGGCACATAAGTCATTTACCAAGCACAAAGGAAGGGATTGTAGAACATAAGAAACATTACTTTAGGAATGTTTACTTTTTCAGTTTGCTCAAAATGTATTGTTTGTCAGTTGCAAGGTGGAATCAGGAGTATCAAGAGCTCAATGTTATACTCGACTACATAGGGATTTGGAGGCCAGCCTGGTCTACATTAGACTATCTCAAATTGGAAAAAGAAAAGTCACTCTCACACTTCTTTTCTGGAGTGTTGGAGATGGAACCAAGGCCTTGTACAGGCTATGTGACACCTTTAACACTGAACTATACCCCTAGACCAAGAATTTGTTTTCTTTAAGAAAAAAAGGATCTTGTCTTTTTGGGTTGCTTTAATTAATCTGTAATTTACATATAATAATTATACAAATTTGTGGGGTAAAGTTTTGATCCAGGTAAATTCTGTGTGATGATCAAATCAGGTTAATGACCATCTTTACTGCCTCTAGCATCTGTCATTTCTTTGTGGTAAAACATTAAAATCTGCTCTTCTAGCCAATTTGGAATATGCATTGTCATCCTACTGAAGATAAGACCGTCAGGGCTTTTTACTTCTATCTTAGTGTAACACTGTTCCCATTGACCAAGTTTTCCCATCTCTTTCTCCTCCCTCCTACTCTTCCTGACCTTTGGTAGGGTTCACTCTACTCTAGTACTAGACTTCTAGAAGCTTACTTTTATCCCTATTTCAAAGCTTACATTTTGTTTGATTCAAGTAAGTACTAAATAATGAGGCATTTGATAGTCAACATTAAGATTTGAGTCTACAGTTTAGGGTCTAGGTTGCGAGAAGCAGAAAATATGACAAGTGTTGGAGTGACAGGTCTGTTACTGACTTACTTGATGCTTGGGGAAGAACACGGGGCTTTGTGCATACTAGACACACACTCTACCAACTGAGTCTCGTGTTTATCACCTCTTCTGAATGTCCAGTAATATGATGCATTACACAGTCCAGTGGAAGACTACGATAACAGGGAAGATATGAGGTGCAGAAATCTAGTTCTGCTAAGAGGGCATAGCACAAGAGCTTTTTACACATTAGAAGCCAGGACTATCAGGATACCAGTAATGGAGCAAAAATATAGCACAGCAGTTAAGGAGGATGGGGGAAAGCAGGAGACAACTAGTAAGAACCCTTGAAACATGATCAGAACAAGAGTAGAGCCTTCAGTCAGGACTAAGTTTGTATTTAAGTGAATAAGTTGGGAGAATGTACACTAAATGACAGCTGGAGAAATCACCACTGATAAAATAGGAATAGATGCTAATAAATGGTTATTGTCTGGTGGAAGGAAGGTGGGACAGGCCTGCTGGGTAACATATCTTTATCCTCTTCAGCACCATTTGTATGGCAATTCTATCTTTGTGTGACAAATCTTTTTCATTCTGTTGTTTTTTGAAACAGCCTCATGATATCACTTAGGATGGCATGGAGGTAACTAGGAAGTCTAGGCTGGTCTTAAACTCACTCTCCTCCTGCCCAAGCTCTCTAAGTGCTGGGATTAAAGGTATGTACCACCATTCTTGCTCCAAAACCAACCTTATATAACTCCATAGAACAAGTTATACTCCCATATCTCTGGACACAAGTGCAGATTGGAGCCTGTATGTCTGAATTGGTATCATGGCTCTGCCAGTTAGGGTTTATGCAACTGGAAGTTGCCTCCTTAATTGCTTTGGACCTCAGTTTCTTCGTCTATACAATGGGTAAGCTGACTACATCATGCTTTGGAAGGAAGATCAAGTGTGTTTGTTCATGCAGACATGATTTATAAGAGTACCTGGACCTCAGAGCACTCTATGATGTTGGCTATTTTTATTACTACTGTTAAGCTGTCTATCTTCATGTTCCTATGCTCCTTGTAGCTTTTTGGGTCTTTGTAGATTGTTATTATTAATTTGTGTCTCTAGTGCTTCAGAGGACCACAATACATCCATTTTGTTTATGTTTTAAGATTTTTTACTGGCCAATGAGATGGCTCAGCAAGTAAAGGTGCTTTCCATAAAACCTGATTACCTGAGTTTGACCCTCAGATCACACCTAGTAGAGAGAGAGAAGCCATTCCTGTGAGTTGTTCTCTGACTTCTACATTTACACTATGGTACATACTCACACTCCCCCACCACATATATAACACATAGATTTAAAAAATGAATAAAATAAATTTTACAAATTTTGGATATAGACACATTTTCTATATAATTTGTATGTATCATTTTAATAGCTACCCAATATTCAACCTAGCAAAGACAAAGGCTGACAAAATTACCAGTGCTTTTGGTGAAAAACCAATGGCATGCTTCATAGGAGTTCAGATGAGATAGGACTGAGAAGGATAGCTAATAAATTGAAATGAAGTATCAAGATTAAGAAAGAAGGTTATCCTCTGACCTCTATACTCATGCTGTGGCACACATGCCCCACTGTAAAATGTAATAAAAAAGATTCAGAAACATTCCAACAGCTTGAAGCAATGGGCTGAAACTAACAGATGGAATACAATAGAGATCCATGTATAGATTTGTTCTAAAGCCAAGTGTCCAAGTGGTGGATAGGAGCAATAGGGGGAAAAGCAAAGGGGTTTTGCTAAAAGCAAGCTTAAACTGATCAGTAGAGTGGCAGAGCTGGATAGGCAACTACCCAGGGGTAGAAATAGAAACAAGTGATCTACAATTAGTAATAGGATTGCTTCATGTCCACGTATGTTGCAAATGACTGCCTTGAAGAACTAGTGACTCTAAATAAGGTCACTAGACTCACCAATGTTTATTTTCTGGTGATACAGAATAATATTTGTATGAGATGTTACCACTGAGGAACATCAGATAAAAGCTCCACATATTTCTCTTATAGTCTTTCTTGTGGTTACATGCATGTAAATCTATAATTATTTACAAATTCAAAATGATAGTTGTCACCAGTTTTCATTGTTTCAATTATTTGATGGACGTTTTGAATAGCTTTATGTTCTGGGTCCCTGTATGGTTAAGTACACACCTGGCTACAACGGGAGTCTCAGTTTGGTGGAGACAGAGATAGATGACTAAAATAAGGCTACATATTACAGGAGACCCATGTTCACAATGCTGTAGGCCAACAGAAGAAATCCACAGCTGAAAGGAAGAAAAGACTTTAGAACACTGCTAGATTCTAGAAGGCTGGAGAAGAGTTTGCCAAATTGGCTAGGTGGGAGCGATGGTTAATCTTGGTTGTCATCTTGACACACCTGGGAAGAGGGAGACTCGACTAAAGAATTGCCTCCATCAAATTGGCCTGTGGGCTTGTCTGTGAGGACATTTTATTGATTGCTAATTAATGGAGCATGTTCTAGCCTACTGTGTGCAGTATCATTCCTAGGCAGGTGGGCCTAGGCCATTTAAGAAAAGTAAGT